TCAATGGGGAGGGGGGGTGGGCGCCCTGGAGGCTGTGGAGGGCGTGGTCTGAAAGTAGGAGGCCCTCCAGGGCGGAGCAGGATGAGGGCGTGGCCAGGGCGGAGCAGGATGAGGGCGTGGCCAGGGCGGAGCAGGTTGAGGGCGTGGCCAGGGCGGAGCAGGCTGAGGGCGTGGCCAGGGCGGAGCAGGCTGAGGGCGAGACCAGGGTGGAGCAGGCTGAGGGCGAGACCAGGGCGGAGCAGGCTGAGGGCAAGACCAGGGCGGAGCAGGCTGAGGGCGAGACCAGGGCGGAGCAGGCTGAGGACGAGACCAGGGCGGAGCAGGCTGAGGGCGAGACCAGGGCGGAGCAGATGGAGGGAGGACCCCTGGTGGAGCCGAAGGAGACGGGGCTGACAACACCAGGGGGCCGACTGACAGGGGCGGAGCAAGTGAGAGAGGAAACCAGGGTGAAGCTGAGGGACTGACGACACGGGGTGCTGATGAGGGACCGAGGGAACATGGTGACACCGCAGGCTCAGGTGACTGAAGTGATGCCAGGGGCACAGAGGGACACGGTGAGGCCAGAGGGAGTGAGGGCTGATGGGTGACTGGAGGGAGTGAGGAGTCCAATTGAACCGGGGGGGTGAAATGACAGGGTGAAGCCAACAAATGAAAGTCCAGAGGTGAAGGATGGGTGATGAGGGACCGAAGGGAATCCAGAGGGACGAGGGAGCCTGGCCGAGCTGGTGGACTGAGGGACCATGGAGGAGCTGAGGGAGGTAAGAGCCACGGGAAGCCAATGGGACCGGGGGCCGAGGAAGTGTCCATGTGGAGGAGGCGGGAGGCGAAAACTGGGGATCCACTGACCAGGCTGGTTTCGGGGACCTGAAGGGCAGTTGAGAAGATGGAGGACAGATGAGAGGAGGCGGGAGAGGGAGGCTGGGCGGGATCCTGGTCTCAGGCTGGGCGGGATCCTGGTCTCTGGCTGGACGGTCTGGACGGTTTCTGGCTGGACGGTCTGGACGGTCTCTGGCCGGACGGTCTGGACGGTCTCTGGCTGGGCGGTCTGGACGGTCTCTGGCTGGACGGTCTGGACGGTCTCTGGCTGGACGGTCTGGACAGTCTCTGGCTGGACGGTCTGGACGGTCTCTGGCTGGACGGTCTGGACGGGCGATGGCTGGACGGTCTGGACGGGCGATGGCTGGACGGCCTCGGGCGATGGCTGGACGGCCTTGGCACGATGGCTGGACGGGGCTGGTCAGAACCAGCGGTGAGGGGAGCTCAGGTTCGGGATGGCTGGACGGGACCAGCGATGAGGGGAGATCTGACTAGGGAGGGCTGGACGGAACCAGCGGGGGAGAGAGTTCAGGCTCGGGAGGGCTGGACGGAACCAGCGGTGAGGGGAGATCTGACTCGGGAGGGCTGGACGGAACCAGCGGGGCGAAAAGTTCAGGCTCGAGAGTGCTGGACGGAACCAGCGGAGAGGTGGGCTCGAGCGTTGAAGTGGGGCTGGTGACGTCATCCACGGTGAAGGAAGATCCACATGACACTAGCACCCACTCCACATAGGCCTTGAAGTCCCCTCGAGGCCCGTCTCCATGCAGGCGTGCCTGGGTTTCAGCATTTAGGCCTGCCCGGAAGAACACACAGAGGCTGGTATCATCATAGTGAACGTGAGGTACCAAGTCCAAATACCTCTGTGTGTGGGCCTCGAGGGATTGATCCTCCTGCTCCAGGAGAAGTTGCACTGCGGGAATGTCCATATTTCTTCTGTTTATGGTCGGTCGATCTGTCACGGCGCGGGTGCAGGCTGAAGAAACAAGGAGTCCGGGGTATCGGTACAGATGAGTTTTTAATATATATCAAACAGGCAGGAAGACAGGAACACAGGCGCCACACGGGCTAACAACAAACATCGACCGACAAAGACTGAATGGAACAGAGGGAACTAAATACATGGAAGAATCAAACATAATGGAGTGGAAACAGGTGAAACAGATGATTAAAATGAGGAACAGGTGGCTGATGAGGGAGTGAGTTCAGGGGAGGAGACAAAAGGATCCTGGGAAGTGTAGTGCTGATGACAAGACAGACTTGTGCAGATGGAGGACTGTGACAGCTGGGGCAGTGTAGAATATTATCCAGAGAAAGAGAGCTCCTGTGGGAGCAGAGGAGACGTCACTGCTGTGGTAGTGAGAAAATTAGCCAGAGAAACAGAGCTCCAGTGGGAGCAGAGGAGATGTCACTGCTGTGGCAGTGTAGTAAAATAAGCTAGAGAAAACAGTTTCAGTGGGAGAAGAGTAGACGTCACTGCTGGGCCAGTGTAGAAAATTAGCAGGAAAAAACAGAGTTTCAGCGGGAGCAGAGGAGACGTCACTCCTGTGGCAGTGTAGAAAATTAGCCAGAGAAACGGAGCTCCTGTGCGAGCAGAGGAGACGTCACTGCTGGGGCACTGTAGAAAATTAGCCAGAGAAACAGAGCTCCAGTGGGAGCAGAGGAGACGTCACTGCTGGGGCACTGTAGAAAATTAGCCAGAGAAACAGAGCTCCAGTGGGAGCAGAGGAGACGTCACTGCTGGGGCAGTGTAGAAAATTAGCCAGAGAAACAGAGCTCCTGTGGGAGCAGAGGAGACATCACTGCTGGGGCAGTGTAGAAAATTAGCCAGAGAAACAGAGCTCCAGTGGGAGCAGAGGAGACATCACTGCTGGGGCAGTGGAGAAAATTAGCCGGAGAAAGAGAGCTCCTGTGGGAGCAGAGTAGACATCACTGCTGTGGCAGTGTAGACAATTAGCCAGAGAAACAGAGCTCCAGTGGGAGCAGAGTAGACATCAATGCTGTAGCAGTGTAGAAAATTAGCCAGAGAAACAGAGCTCCTGTGCGAGCAGAGGAGACGTCACTGCTGGGGCACTGTAGAAAATTAGCCAGAGAAACAGAGCTCCAGTGGGAGCAGAGGAGACGTCACTGCTGGGGCAGTGTAGAAAATTAGCCAGAGAAACAGAGCTCCAGTGGGAGCAGAGGAGACGTCACTGCTGGGGCAGTGTAGAAAATTAGCCAGAGAAACAGAGCTCCAGTGGGAGCAGAGTAGACATCACTGGTGGGGCAGTGTAGAAAATTAGCCAGAGAAACAGAGCTCCAGTGGGAGCAGAGGAGACATCACTGCTGGGGCAGTGGAGAAAATTAGCCAGAGAAAGAGAGCTCCTGTGGGAGCAGAGTAGACATCACTGCTGTGGCAGTGTAGACAATTAGCCAGAGAAACAGAGCTCCAGTGGGAGCAGAGTAGACATCAATGCTGTGGCAGTGTAGAAAATTAGCCAGAGAAACAGAGCTCCTGTGGGAGCAGAGGAGACATCACTGCTGTGGCAGTGGAGAACGTACCTGTGCAAATTGAACTGTGGTGTGAAGCCGAGCGAAGTGGGAAGTAGATTGGGGCCTGGCGGGCCGATGATCATCTTCTTGAGCGTAATCAAAGACGCGAAAATGAGGGGAGATTAAATCTTTGCAGGATTATGCTCTTCTTTATTAACGTTTGAAAATGGCTTAGGGAGCTTTCACCCTGGCAGTTAAGTCCGTAACGGGGCCCGGTTTGCATGAAAAATCGCTGATGTGAATGCCGTCATGGGACCCGGGTGCGCATTGGGGTACCTGGAGGAGGTGGTCCGAGTTCGGTTGCTCCCGAACCGTGCCGCGGTTCACATGAATGTGAAAGCAGCACAGACTCGGGTGCGCACTTGTTCAGGAAGTAAAGTATCCTGCACATGCATTTTAGCTTATTGTGATGTATTCAGTTAAATAAGTAAGGGATGAGAGTGTTGAGGAATTACCTTGGATACGCGCGAGAGTGAGCCTGCAGTGTATTCGAGCATTGTGCGTGGAATCAGAGCAACATATTTAAAATCCACTCTCTCCTTAAGAGTCCGTTTGCAAGCAGCAGAAGTCCACTTTATATGACACAGGCACAATAAACCTGTATTGTTCTCTCAACTGCACATAATAGCAGCAAATTAATGAAAATAAATAAATAAATAAAAATACAATATTTACCCACGTTCTGCTTTCTATCATGTGCAGTGCATGTTTGCGATGATGTAAGATGCACGCAAATGCACCAGGGTTCAATAGAATCAAGTTGAGTGTGAAACCAGACCCACACGGGGGCTTCGGGAACAAACACGCTCAGACCGCAGCAAACGAGCCCAGTGTAAAAGCCCCCTTATTTTCTCATTTTATTTATTTATTTGTCATTTCTAAGGCTCACGTTCTCTGCCGATTTGTTCGTTCTTAATCAGTAGACCAAATGGTGAAGCTGTGGGTTTGAATTAGTCTGAACTTTATTTGTTTACAGTTGACGTGATTGTGTTGACAAATGAAATCGGTTACAGGCCGAGGTTTGTGCTAAAAATCTTCAAGGAGTCGTCGATTCCCCTTAATGGAATCGATTCCAACCTTTGGAATCGACTCTCAATTCCTAACGCCTCGGAATCGAGGAATCGATTCTTTTGACTGCGAATCAGTCCTACTGTTTACATTTGAGTTTACGCCATAAGGAAGCATCGCGTTTAAGGAACACAAATCATTTCAACAGAAACTATTTAAAACGTGTGATCCTCCGATCACAATTAGTATCCAGATAGCATAACTTGCTCGTCATTCAACAATTGAAGCGATGCGAAGTTCAATCGGGGACATAAAAGTTTTGAGCTAAGCACAGAGTTGACCCGGCAGATGTTGAGAGTGTGGATCAGCCGGGACTGAATCTGCAGCGTGGCTTAATTTACGGCCTGTTGCGGGGGCCTGACGCTGGAGGAAGATCCGTTCCTTTGCGTTAAGAGGGCAGCATTGCCTTGTCCATTTCTCTATGGCAGGAATTATTGAATGGTCCGGTTTAAAGAAATGCCCGGAAGTACATTGCGATGTTTCGCCCGCGGTGGCGAGGACCCGTTTGTTTGGCCTGATGCCCACGAGATAATACCAGGTTGCGGCAAAGATTACTAATTCTGAAGGACGAAAGATTTTTTATCGAAATGGGAAGAGCTAGATTCGGACATGGCCAAATGCTGCAAACTGTCAATGGATCAAGGTAAGACTGCTGAGTCTATATGTACCCTCTTATCATTGATTGCTGATTGCTGTCCACTCGTGTTAATTGTCTGAACATGCTCCTCCCGAACTTAGTTAATAAAACTTAATTTATTGTAAAGCATTATTTATTGTCAAGGGTCAGTTCATTATGGTTGTTGTAGCGCTGTGCTGGAATTCATTTTCAAGGAACTACAGTGTCTCAATGGGTAAAACTACAGTAACTGCAGTACAGTAACAGTTTATTAATCAGGTGCACAAGCAACAGCATTAAGCATGAGATGTCTAAAATATCAGCAGAATATTTGTTTTTTAATTACTAGCTTAACTTAATGATATTGGCCCTGTTTCTAACTGAGTACTTAAGCATTACACATGTGTTTCTACAGGTTTTCCGGGATTGTTTACCCTTTCCATCACCGCCTGAGGCCAGTCACTGCGCTCTTCGCCATCATCTTCATTTGGCTGCTTGCTTTTGCCATCATTTTTCCTTCTGCTGCAACCCTGACCGTCATTCACTTGGATGACATCTACATGGTGCAGGACAACCAAATCTACCCACTGTTTGTGTGTTTCGAGGACTGGCCGAGAGCAGACATGCGACGAGTTTACACCACAGTAATTTTCATCCATGTTTATCTGGCCCCGCTTGGTCTTATGAGCATCATGTATGGCTGCATCTCTGGCAAACTCTCCAACAACCTACGTGAGAATCGAGCTCGCTCCAGGAGGAGGATGAAAGTCATCAAGATGCTCATCATGGTTGCCGTTCTCTTCATGGTGTCCTGGCTGCCGCTTTGGACTTTAATGCTTCTTACGGACTATCAGGATCTGGACCGCCAACAGATTGACTTCTTGAGCAGCTATCTTTTTCCTGTAGCTCATTGGCTGGCGTTCTTCAACAGTGGGGTTAATCCGATCATCTACGGCTTCTTCAACGAGAACTTCCGGAGAGGATTCCAGGCCGCCATGGCCTGCGGCTCCTGCAACTCTTTTGAGTTTGAGATGTGTCACACGCACTTTGCTCTCCCGCCCCCTAACAAAGTATCCAATGAGAGCCAAGGTGTGACCAACAGGCGGAAAGATTGCTGCTTTGCTGTGATGCCTCAAGTGGCGGCTAATGGTATTCAGGAAATTCTCCTTGAGAACATGAATGGAATTACAGCCTCCCACAGAGTTATAGGAGCCTGGATGGAGTGAAGGATTAAGGAGTTTTACATATCCCAGGAGAAAGCTGTTGCATTGCCATTCTTCTCAATGACTCAAATTGCTCAGTTTGCTTCATAGATAATCATTCCCCAAACATGTGATTCTGAACTTTTCAACCTTTTTGTATGTTGCTCGCACTACTTTTGCACTACAACTACTTGTAGTGCAACTACAAGTGTAGTTGCTCGCACTACAACTACTTTTGAATGGCTGTGTAACGAGGTAGCTCAAAGGGGAAATATTAATAATAAATAAATAATTACTTGTTATGATTAATTATGAATATTTGGGTCAGTTAATTGGACTAACTTGATGTAGCTAAATTAATTGTATCTAATTATTACAATCAATTAATCACTTCGTCCAACAAACTCTTTTGATTATTCATTAAGGGTATTTTTCATGGCCACAGAAAATGATAAAAAAAATAATTATTTCTTAGCAAATACAGCACGTGAAACAGAACAAATACATATGTGCATCTCATTAAATATATACTTGCATGGCCTTTGCAGTGAAAGCATTTTGTGAAGTTCCTGAGAAAGGGTTTTGATGGTTCCGTGAGTGTCAACAGTTGAAGTTGCAACCGTTAATCTTCTCCGTTGGATGAAGAAGATATGATGAACTTGCATGGTTAGTTCGACTCTGTTCTGGTTGAAAGTTCTCTCTCTCCATGGCTGGTTGTGAGTCAAGGCCTGCTGCCCAGGGGCCTGCTGAGGCTACACAGGACAGGACAGGACAGCACAGCACTCTGAACGTACCGAGAAGGCCAAGAGAGCGAAGGGCTTGTGCAGAGATTTAAAGCCTGAGAAAGGTCCCACCTTTCAGGGTTGGCTCAACCAATAAGAAAAGGGAAATAATTCCAAGTGGGAAATTCCTCTGTTGGGAGGATTTATGACTCTATCTTAAATGTGGTTAGACAAAGGCCTTGCTGTTTGTGTCCATTTATACTCCATTTATATAACAAACACACACTGCATTCTAAGAGAAGGTGATGTACACTAAAGTGTGAGTCATTAAACGAGGATTAATTAAATAGGAGACATGATACAGGTGGGGTAACATTGACCGTTGGTTCTATCATAAAATACATACTGTAGTATCAAAGGCATAATAGTACACAAGACAATTAATCATTCACACAGTGTCCTGGGGTGAACATTCAGTTATAGATCAGGGGTGCGTTTCCCGAAAGCATCGTTAGCCAACTATGGTCGCAAGTTCCGTCGTTATCTGTATAGATTAACGAGTCGGTGTTTCCCGAAACCATCGTTCCAACGGACATTCGCAAACAGCATCGCAAAGTTGGGTGGTTTGAACAACAGCTCTCGACCTGTGGTTAGAGGCATCGTTTATTGCATAACATTTGAAGGTAATAAATCCTTATATTGAGCAAAATAAGCAAACTGACAGTCAGGTGACAACCGGTGCCTTTTATTTAGAATACATACAAAAGTAATTTATGTCTTTTAGTTTTTCAAAAGATTTGAAGTAACGTGTTTGAAGAGTGCGCATGTGTGAACGTGCTCTACTATGTAAGAGCGAGCCAAATATTGAGTCTGGTAATAAAGCAGAACAACTGAGAACAATTAGAAATAGTCCTCAGGTGACATGTCTGTAATTTATATAAAACAAATCTAGCATTAATTGGATCTCAAACAGTTTCATTAAAAGTAGTTATTACTCCACCACCTGCGAAACCAACGTAGTTGAACGATACTTTGTGGATTTCGGGAAACAGTCGTGTCTAGCTAGTTGATTTTTCCAACGATGCATCGTACTATGGTAGTGAAACAGTGAACTACGTCATTGTACGGGAAACACACCCCTGGTCGCAGATTATAATTGATCTGCGTCCACATTAAAACGACTGAAAACGCGGAGCACGTGACTATTCACCAACACTGGGCATGCGTGCGCCAGTGTAAACGGTGGTAGACCAGAACGGCACTGTGGTAGACGAATCGGGGAGGGGTACGTCATAACTGATGACACCCAAGCATAGAGCCGAGTGTGAGCCTCTGCTTCATCGTTTGTAAACTCCTCCATTTTGTCCCATCTACACTAATATGCCCTCCGGAGATTCAAAACGCAAAATGGAGCTGCGGCGTTTCTAAACTTCTCAGTTTTAGGTCTTTGTTTTTCCCGTTTTAGGCCACGTTTACACAAAGCCAGGTATTTAGCGAAACAAATATTTTCCCCCTCTCTGTTTTCAAAAACAACATTGTTCACACATCCGCATAAATACGCCGTGGAGCACCATCATAACTATGCCAAACCTATTGGCGGCAGTGTAGGGAGAAGGATTAAGTCAAGTCAAGCCAAGTCACATTTATTTATATAGCGCTTTTCACAATACAGATTGTATCAAAGCAGCTTCACAGTGATAACTTGAAAGTAGTGCAACACAGATCAATAATATTGTTAAATACTAAATACTAAATAACCCCGACTAAGCAAGCCAAAAGCAAGGCGACAGTGGCAAGGAACCAAAACTCTTACATTCATATTGTTTATATATAAATATTAAATATAAATATTGTTTATATATAAAACGGCGCCATAACATATCGCCGGTGTTGAGTCGTCTCTTCACAGGCGCTGGTCTTCTCATCACAGGCGTTGGGGCATCCGAAATCCCTGTGAGAGGCTGGATACAAAACTGGACCTGACGAACGCCACTTTTCTCGGGACAAGCGTCCCGAGATAACAGCAGAAAGGCAGATGGGAGATAATTAGCATTTACATTTAGGGAGATAATTAGCACTCACAAACTCACCGCAACCCAACCATACTCGCCAACCCGTTTGACTAAGGCTGTCGAGCCCCACTGTTGCGGAAATGCATTTCAGTGGCAAACGGTTCCGTATGGCATAACAGAGGAGTAAAAGGTAAGCATTATGTGAATGCTTGACTAAAGAGATGCGTCTTTAATCTAGTTTTAAACTGTGTCAGCGAGTCAGAGCCTTGGACCGTATCGGGAAGGCTATTTCAGAGTTTTGGAGCTAAATGCGAGAACGCCCTCCCTCCTTTAGTGGACTTAGATATCCTAGGAATGACCAGAAGCCTTGAATTTAGTGATCTTAAGGAACGCGGTGGATTGTAGGGCGAAAGAAGGTCCGTTAAGTTCATAGGAGCTAAACCATTAAGGGCTTTATAGGTCAGTAGTAGTATTTTGTAGTTGATACGGAACTTAATAGGTAACCAGTGTAGAGATGATAAAATCTGTGTTATATGATCATATTTTCTTGACCTAGTAAGAACTCTAGCAGCTGCATTTTGTAATAACTGTAGCTTGTTTATTGACGATGCAGGGCAACCGGCTAATAAAGCATTACAGTAGTCTAGTCTCGAGGTCATGAATGCATGAACTAACTTTTCTGCATCAGAAACAGATACCATGTTACATAGCTTAGCAATGTTTCTAAGGTGGAAAAAGGCTGTTCTTGTAACACATGAAATATGATTTTCGAAAGACAAGTTGCGGTCTAGTATAACACCCAGGTCTTTTACTGTAGTGGATAAAGTAACAGGGCATCCGTCTATATTAAAGTTGTATTGTGAGAGGTTTTGTGAGTAGTTTTTTGGACCAATAAGTAATACCTCCGTTTTATCTGAATTTAATAGCAGGAAATTACGCGTCATCCAGCATTTTATATCTTTGAGACACTATGTCAATTTAGATGAGTTAGTGTTTTCATCTGGTCGTGATGAAATATATAATTGAGTGTCGTCAGCATAACAGTGGAAGTTAATTCCGTGTTTTCTTATAATATTACCAAGTGGCAGCATATATATTGAGAATAGCAGAGGGCCTAAAACCGATCCTTGCGGTACTCCATAGTCTACAGACGTTATCTTTGATTTTTCCCCATTTACACAGACAAAATGAGACCGGTCCGATAAGTACGATCTAAACCAGCTTAATGCCTGTCCCTGAACACCAGTGTAGTTTTGTAGTCGATCCAAGAGTATTTTATGATCTATAGTGTCGAACGCAGCGCTAAGATCAAGTAGAATTAGTATTGAGATACAGCCTTGGTCTGTACTATGATGCGGTCTGAATCATAGTACAATTTCTGTACTATGATGCGGTCTGAATCCTGACTGGAATTTTTCATAGATATCATTTTCTTGCAAAAAAGAGCACAATTGAGCGGACACAACTTTTTCTAGTATTTTGGACGTAAATGGAAGATTTGAAATGGGTCTGTAATTTGCTAAGTTATTTGAATCTAATTGCGGTTTCTTAATGAGAGGTTTTATTACGGCCAGCTTGAATATTTTTGGAACATGACCTAAAGATAAAGACGAGTTAATAATATTGAGGAGAGGCTCTTCCACTACAGGTAATAGTTCTTTCACTAGTTTAGTGGGTATTGGATCTAATAAACATGTTGTTGGTTTAGATGCAATGATAAGTTTATTTAGCTCCTCCTGTCCTATCGTTGTAAAGCGGTTTAGTTGTTCTAGAGGGGCCATAATTGAAGCTGAATCATAAGACACCATAGAGGATTGTACATTTATAATTGTGTTTCGGATGCTTTCTATTTTCTCATTGAAGTAATTCATAAAATCATTACTACTAAACTGTAACGGTATATTTTGCTCTGGTGATGTCTGTTTATTTGTTAGTCTAGCCACGGTGTTAAATAAAAACCTTGGATTATTTTGGTTATTTTCTATTAGTTTGCGGAGATGCTCAGCCCTGGCTGTTTTTAGTGTCTTTTTATAAACGTGACATGCTGTCTTTGCACGCGATTCTAAAGACCTCTAAGTTAGTTTGTTTCCATTTACGCTCTAATTTGCGAGTTTCTCTCTTGATAGCATGCTATAGCACTGTTGTACCATGGTGCTTTAGTTTTCTCTCTAACCTTTTTTAATCTAATTGGTGCAACAATATCTAATGTACTAGTGAAAATGGTGCTTAAACTGCTAGTCATTTCTTCTAATTCATCTGTTTTTTTGGGTTCATTTAGCAGCTTAGATAGATCAGGTAAGCTATTTGAGAATCTATCTATATTGGTTGGAAGGATTGTTCTGCCTGGTCTATAACGTGGCGATGGTTATCACTCTGCCCAAGTATCAGTGCTTCGCCTTCAGAAAATATAGTATTTATACGGTCAAAAGATGTCTGTGTCTCATATGGCCTTGTTATTTGCACACTCTGTGACTATACAAACC